CATTATATGCCTGCTATCAAAAAAACCTTTTATGTATATAATAAAAGTAATTAGTTAGCAATATGTATATATATATAAAATATTTAATTTTTAAAATAAAACATACTTAATTGTTGTATATAATCACAAATATTATTTTTGTTTTTTTCAGAAATTATATGCGATTCCAAGAATGCCCTGTCCTTGTGGATTTTTGGCTTGTTGTACCAGCTTACTAAATATTGTAACTGGTCCAAATTATTGAGCAATACATGAATTTCTGATAAAATATCAGCTCCAAAGTATGCACAAATAAGATTACCTAAAATGTAAATATATATATATTTAATTAAAATTTAAAAATATATATAAATTTAATTAAATATATATAAATAAATAAAAAATTACTTGAAATAATTTTCTGGGAAGTAATATAATCTAAAAGATCTGATGTATTATTAATTATTAGATTAATACGATCTTTTATAGCTTCTGGAATATGACTTGGTGGCGGTGGCGGATGAGTATGTTAACCAACACTCACAAGAACAACAAATAGACATTTAATTAAATTCACTAGTGTAAGTCGATAAAATGTAACATTATACGGTAAATGAATTAAATTAGCCTCTATAGGATTTCCATTATCATCTATATGTAGGAAGGCTAAAATAATATAAAATTAATATTAAGCCATTAAATTATTAATTTATAAAAATTTTACTTACAGCATACTAATCGCTTAGAGCTATTTGACAAAACTGTACTACAATTATTATTTATTTCATGTTGATTTAGAAGCTAAATAATAAATATATATATATTTAAAATTAATAATAAATATATAGTAACAGTAATATATTTTTTAAAAAAAACATACCATTCCGTCAATTAAATTTTTTAATAAATAACAATCTATAGCTTCTGTAAGTAGTATATAACGGTGTCCAGTAATACTATATTTCCAAGATATGCAACCAACAAAATATCCATTGTTTCTATTAGTATTCGGTTGTGATATAGATTCACTTGAAAAAAGAGTTTGCATCCGTCGTTTTTTGATTATTAAGTCACCATTACATCGACTACCATCAGTTTGAATATATAGACAAGATACTTTTTTAGCCGCCAAATAAAATCTAATTAATAAAATATTTGTTATATATGTAAAAAATTTTTAAACTAAATTTAAATTAATAATTAGATATATATTACGATAATGTGTTAACTTGAATACTTCGTGATTCCTCAGCATTTTTAATAGTTTAAAAAATATTTGAATCAAAATCAACATTAGTATGCTTATAATTTATAATATGCTCATATGCAAAAGGACAAATCTTGATTCTTCCACATTTTCTTTGATCTTTAATAATTTGTATTTTTCATTATTAGGTTCATCAAAAAATGGACAATTTACGATTGAACCTCCGCCTTTGCCACTTTGTGAATACTGAATTTAGTAAAATATATAATTGTTAAATTTATTGTAATTTACTTTAAAAAATACATTTATAGATGACTAATAAGCCTATTTATGCTGTTAATAAACTAACGAAACTATAGGTTTCATCTTGACAAATTGACAAAACTATACAGTTTGCTAGATCATGTGAGTTTGATTAGGTATTATTACATACATCACGAAATACAACTCGAGCTTTATCTTTCATTGCTCTTTGAACTTAAATATCATCTTTATTTTGTACTTGAGAATAATTTTTGCTTTCAATAAAATTATAGATAATTGCATAACCTTCAGGATGAGTAGGTGAATATTTAACTGAAATAGCAGAAAATTGGATATGTCGTGCAGTTAAATTTTTGGTAAAATAAGCAATTTCTTCAATAAAGTTATCATCATCACTATTGTTATTTTGAACAAATTTATAAATATTCAATATCTAACTTAATATTTACAGTAAATCAAAAAATATTTAAATAATTTTTTACCTGCTCATTTATTTCATCAAAGTCAACTTCCTCAAAAGTATCATCAGTATCAGAATTAATATTAATAAAAGAAGCCATATTGATATTAGTATATAACGATTATAATAAAAACAAAAAACTACAAATACTAAAAATATTCGCTTGCATATTAATTATACTGATCATAATAATTACATACAGTATATTATATAGAATTTTGCATAAAAAATATCGATAAGGTAAATCATAGATTTAAAATCCTGATGAGTTTTTCCTTGGCAGCATATTTAATCACTTCATTATATTAAAAAGATTAAAAGATTTTATTTATACATCAAGTAATTATATAATAGCAACAAATATACAAAAGCACATAAAGTATATTTATTGGTTATACATTCTGTATATACTACTATACATTAAGTATAATATAGTATACTTTACATATTTACTATTCTATACTATATATATATATTAAAACTCAAAAAAAATAGTCATTTAACATATGCGAAAAAAGAGTCAGTTATTTGACACATGCAAAAAAAAAGTTGGTTATTTGACATATGCAAAAAAAGAGTCAGTCATTTGATATGCAAAAAAAGAGTTTGTCATTTAATATACGCTAAAAAAGAGTTAGTTATTTGATATACACGAAAAAAGAGTCAGTTATTTAATATGCACAAAAAAGTATCAGTTATTTAATATGTACAAAAAAAGAGTCAGTCATTTGACAAGTGCAAAAAAAGAGTCAGTCATTTGACATACATAAAAAAAGTGTTAGTTATTTGATATACACAAAAAAAGAGTCAGTTATTTGACATGTGAAAAAAGAATTAGTTATTTGATATGCAAAAAAAGAGTCAGTTATTTGACGTACAAAAAAAGAGTAAGTTATTTGATACAGAAGAAAGAGTTAATTATTTGATG